TGTTGTTTGGCGGGCCCGGGCTGGGGATTCGAACCCGCCACCTTAGGTGTATGTGGCTGGCGCCTTAGCCGCTTGAGCCACAGGCGCCGAGCCCAGATCTCCCTTTCTAATGCTGCTGGGGCAGCCATTATGGAAAGGATAGCGGAAGCAGGTTGAGGAAGAACCAGCAGGTGGAAAGAGCCAGGGTGTGGAGCTCTGGAAGCCAGGAGGGAAGGGCAGCAGGAGGGACCCAGAGTTGGCACAATGGATTGTGCAATGCAGAAGTTGCTGGTAATTCAGTCCATGGCAGTTCTATGAATTTGGAGTGGATTTAGGATAGAAAGAATTGCACACAGCTATGCTCACTGTAAAGCACCTGGTGCTGTATAAAAATGTTAATATCTCTCTGGGAATGCTTAAGCCCAAGAGTTTGAGGTTGCTGTGACCTGTGATGCCACTATTCTACTGAGGGTGACATAGTGAGATTCTGTCTCAAAAAAAAAAAAAATCTCTAAGCCGTGAGGTTATAGACCAGGTTTGTCCCGTACACATTTTTACTGAATAGTGGATAGGCAGACACAGCTCTTCTATAAGTAAAAATAAGTTGTTACAAACATCCTTCCCTAAGTGCTTCAACTGCCAGCCTGACCTGAGGCTGATGCTGAGTTCCAGGCCTAAGAAGTACAAATGCCATTTCTTGAGTCAGTCTTTTTTTTTTTTTTTTTTTGCAGTTTTTGGCCAGGGCTAGGTTCGAAACTTGAGTCAGTCTTAGTTTCCAGACCTGATTCACCACCTTCCTCCCAAGAATACCAAATTGCACACAACCTCTCTGCCCTACCCAACCTTAGTGTTATGGTATGCGAGATGAGACCACCAGACAAATTGAAGAAGACAATTAGGAGCCTTTATTAAGACTGGCCAGCCTGACTGCCTTCTAAGGTCAGAAGAGCCGTGATGACCAACTTGGAAACAAAGTTTTTATAGGGTGACTTATGCAGGCTAAAGAAAAATACAACCAGTATGTACAGAAGCAAATTTATGGCACTTAGAGTTAATAACAGTTACTGGTCAACTAGTTCAGCAAGAAAAATATTTTTTTAGAACAATGGAGTCAACAGGACCCTAAGGTGCCAGTGGTGCCACCAAAAAGGCCTCATCCTGTTTTTACTAATCTTTGCCCCATTACCTCATCCTTCTTGTTTTAACTTTCTCCAGTGTTTGGGAAAGAGGGGGGATATCAGTGCTAATGGGTTGAGCCTCCCTCTTGCCCACCATCTCATTTAGGTCACTGGGCATGTTGAAATTAAATGGTACCTGACTAGAAAACTCTTTTCACAATGAAAACACATCTTCATAGAACACTTCCCACATAGCAAAAACTTAATTTGCTAATTGCTGTGTTTGGAAAGTGAGCACGCTTCCCAAATGCATAATTTGTACTCTGAACAGAGCTTGTTCAGAATGGCCAGAGACCCACCGAGCAGGCCTGGCTGTCAACTCAGCAAAAGCAGACAGGAGAAATTCTGGGAATTCAAAGAACCCATGAGACCAAGAAAGGTAAAAAAGAAATCTTGGGAGATCCAAATGTGACACTAGGTAATAAACAGACAGGACACTTTGTTATTGGGATAAAACACATGAGAGATTTTTGTGAACTACGTCTGGGCAGGAGCTCTTTTCTTGGTGTTATTATATTCCCAGTACCTTTCAAGGTCCCTCCCATAGTTTCACTTAATTCACACTTACGGAATTAACTGCCTCCTTGCTCTTGCTTACTGAAATAGTCATAATCATTACTCCTCTCCTGTAGACACAAAGTCTGGTTTATTTTTTTTTTTATTTTTTTTTTGAGACAGAGCCTCAAGCTGTCCCCCTGGATAGAGTGCCGTGGTAGAGTACAGCTCACAGCAACCTCCAACTCCTGGGCTCAAGCGAGTCTCCTGCCTCCGCCTCCCAAGTAGCTGGGACCACAGG